TTTTTCCTGATGTGCTTTACTTTTGTGGAAAATTGTCTTGTTTGATAGGTAGAAACATGGTGGTGATCCTCTGTGTAAAACAAAGTTATTTCTTATGGACCAGAAATATTTTACTCATTTTGGAATCACAAGATTTTTGCATTTTCATGAATATATACTTTGTTTTGGTGGTTATTAGTAATTTGCTTATAAATTTTTATAATACTTCCTAGAAAAAACTTAAGGTAAAGAGTTTAATTTTCTTGATTTAGGGTACACTTTAATAATTTAAGAAGCCTCCAAGTTCAAGGACCAAACCTTTATATTCTAGAATTGTGAGAAACCTGGAAATACTCTTGTTAGCATGTGTTTTGCTCTAAACTGGATTAACACAGAAAAATCCTAAGAGGACTTATGTTCTTACTATGAAGTAGCAGTCGAACTTACGGGACAGGTGACTTAGGTATTCACATTGACCAGCTCAGTGATGGCCATCCGCTGATGAGCTAATAGTCGTGCTGGGGAATGGGTCAAACTCCCGTTGAGCTGGAGTGGATTGGCAGTTTCCAGTGCAGGTAGTTGTTGGTGACATTTGACCTACCTCCCTACCCTATACACTGGAATTTTCTTTTTCCTATCCTCCTTTTTCCTTGTTTTGCTCTCTTTTATACTTCTTGCCATAGGCCTGCCAGTGGCACTCCAGTTTACCTCCTTAAGAAGGAAGTAAAGAAATTGCTGACTCCTGCCTTAGAAAAGAACATAGCTAACTGACCCCAGAAAGATTTCTGTATTATGAGGTAATTGCGCAGTTTCTTCTGACTCCTGTCTTCCCTGTAGTCTTAAGTTGGCAGTTTGAAGAGCATTGACGTTGTTAAGATATGTATGAATTGAAGAAAGTAAGAAGTATGTGTATTTTAGGTAAGTTCCTGGAGCTGAGACTTACTGGTTTGGAAATTTGAGAGCAGAAAGGGGGAGAGCTGTTTAAATGTGTTTATGAATAGAAGTGTGAGAGGTATACAAGGGAATGGTTTGGAGGTAAAGTGGGAGAAATTTTTACTGGAGGTAGGAAAAGACACAGAGTTTAAATGAGAGTTGTTTGCTAAGGACAATGAAGCTGATGTTCACTAAGAAAGTTTTCAGAGAAAATGGGTCCCTTGCTGGTTATGAGAGAGCTATTGGTCTACGTTATGATGATGATGATGATGCAGTATATAAATAAGTTTTCAGGTATAGGATGTTTGCTTTTCTGGACAAATATAAATAGCACAATTGTGGAATGGCAACTTTCTGGTTAAGGCAAATGGTGCTAGAGATTTATTTAGAGGGGAAGAAATTTTAAAAGTTTCAAACTTTTTCGTATTTATTTTTAAACTATCAGAAATATTTATCATACAGACTATTCTCCTGGGCTCATGTTACAATGTAGTTTACATTTGCTTTTCAAAATGTTCTTTAGATCAAATTATTCAGTTTTGCAGTCCACAAAGATCCATATTATGCCTTGCTTTATAGAACCTTGAGCCTTTGTTCCACGTAAATTTCTAGAAGTACAATAAACCAGGTTAAAAACACTGAATTGAAATCTTAGGTGTCTTTTCTATTTGTTTTCTGTTTGCAGTCCTAGCAACTATTTAACATTGTGACCCTCAAGAATATATATTTCTGAAATTAGGCAACATACCCGCCCTCAAACTCAAGTTTCTGTTTCTTTTTCCACTTTCTATTTTACTTTAAAAATTGTAGAATTCCCAAGAGTTCATTGGTGGCAAATATTAATAATATAATCTGGTATATCTTGGAAGTTCTTATGTTCTTTGTAGGGTGAAACTGATTGTGTTCAGATTTCTGTTCTCAGTATCCCAGTAACATTTTGATAAGATGAAAAGTTGCTATAATACTTGTTTTTAAAGTTACACAATTCAAGTATATTTGAATTAATTGTTTTCTAGTTTGGTAAGGACTTATTCTCAGTGATTTTGACAGATTAATGTTTCATTTTACCCAAATCTGTATATTTTAGTGATAAAACCTCTTAAAGATAACTTTTAGAAAAGAGGTTCTGATTTTGTATTTGGAATTAATTTTTTTTACAAATGTCAAATACATTAATAACAATGTTTTTTATTTTAACTTATTTTGTAGAGTTGGCAGTTGGTATGATTTTCATCCAGTAGTATTGTATGTCAGATTTTAAATTATGATGGTTACATACTATAACTTAAGTCAGGACAGAGCCTTCTTAAATAATCCCTCCCTTAGGAATTGTTTAAAAGGAAGTGAATTCCCAAACCTGTGTCAAGAACCAGTGATTTAAATGACTGTGAGACAAGTCTTTGAAAGGCTTCCTTGAGTCTAGTCAATGGAGATAAATGATAGCCCATTTCCATGCTGCATACAGTTGTTAGGGTTTATAAAGTTGTCAATACGTAAAAGTGCAAAAGCAGGAAAGACTGTAAAGTTGCCTATAAAATTTCTAGTTTTCATTATTTGCACTATTTATCTTTGCACTTGATTTTTTGAAAGTTAAGACTAGTCACTTTCACTTTTGTTTCTAGTCTTTTCTAATTTCTTACGTTTTCAATATCCCACCCAAAGCAAAACTTATATGCAATTAAATATTCTTTATAAGTCCAAGAAAATATTTCGTAGTGTTAGCTATGTAGAACAAAAATTTGTTTTGATAAAATTTTTAATATGGGCCTTTATTTGCCAATAAAATCCTTTGTAAATGTGAGTTTTATTAAACTATTTGAATAGACAAAGTGAAAGTTAGGGTAGAAAAAATATATATACATACATATATATCTATGGAGTGATGTCTTTGAGATTCAATTTCCAGCCTGAAACGGCCTGGTTTTGGAGTTTTATTTGTTATCAGTGAAGTGAATGAGATTTGAGTCTAGCTGGGCATTGGTTTAAAAAGCTGAAAGTGAAGTGGGTGGCAAGTGGCAGCTCCCTCTTTCATGTAGTTTTCCATAATACTCATGGAGTTTCCTTATGGTCTATGTGATATAACTGGTGTTGAAATAATTATATTAGATGAATATTCCTTTTTGGAATTCAAGGTTGACTCACTTTTTGAGGAGGGGGGTGGTAAGGGATAAGAGACTTTATTTTAACTGGAGGCATTCTTATAACCTCAAGATGTACTCTAGAAAGAGTAGGAGAACAAAAAGCGTACCTGTGAACATATTTTTTGTCTTAGTGAGTTTGCGTGACAGTGTTTGGAATTGAAAAACAAAAAAATGACAGTTTTGTCAATAGAACAGAAATGTGTTTTGACTGAAATTATTTTTTGTAAATTATTATTTCATTTTATATTCCCTCTCCCATAGCCTTTTAGGAGCTTCATACTTAAAACCAACAGGTTAGAGGCCTCTCTTCAGAGCTGGTTTATTTTTGGAATGCCTGAGTGTGTTTCTGGATGGAAGGGGTGCGGCAGGGGGTGGTGTTTTAATTCTCGACATGCTCTTCTCAGCACGTTTTGCTATTTATTCTGGATCTTAAGTTTGCAAATTCTATTGAAAATTCAGTGATGTATTTGAAATGAGAAAGTTCTCTATGACATAGTGTGAATGTGTATGGCTGGACTCTATTGTGGAACTTTGTGGCTTTGTTTTTAATTGAGGTAGAAAGTTATAAACTTCCATTGTTCAAACTTGAGGTTTATCTAGTGGAAATGTGCCCGGTAGTTATCTAAATATGGACCAATTTGGGGAAATGAATGTTGACAAATGTGTATTTGACTCTAGATAATCCTTTTTTCAAAACTGTAACTTAAAGGCTTACATCATTATAGTTGTCTTAGGTTTTATGTTGTCTTGGGTTAAATGTGGATGATGATCAGTAGAATATCTATGAATTTTCTTTGGGAAAAGAGAAATATTCAGTCTCCAAACCTTTTCTTGGAGACTAAATTTATCATATATGGAAAACGAAAAAAATTTAGAAAGTGGTTTTGATTATTTTTAAATAGGGTTTAATCAGTTTAATTATTTTTTCTAGTTTGTAGCACTTATTTCCCAAATATGAATAAAGGGAAAAGATCAACAATATGCCCCCCTCCTTTTTGAGGACATTTTTAGTTTTTTTGACCCCATTTCCCAATCCTAGTATAAAACAAATTACGGGTAGCCCTCTTAAGTCCTTGTATCACCTTTTTGGGGTCACAGATACCTTTGATTATCAGATGAAAGTGATAGACTCTCTCCCCAGAAAGAAAATACCACATAAACAGTTAATTTTGCATACAACCTCAGGGGCATCACATATCTTCTGGAATCCAAGTTAAGGATCTCTGCTCTAAACTCTGTAGAGAAAATTTCAATGCAATTAATTGATAAAGTTAGGAACTAAGTATTGGCCTGAAACATTTCATATTGGAATTACTGTTAGATGGTGGCCCCTACTAGCAAAATGTGACATTCTAGACAGCTTTGTTAGACATTCTAACAACCAGACAGAAGGAAGAGAGAAGCAAAGTTCTGAGAGCTATTTTTAAGGAGTTAGGGCATCTCTAGACATGGGAGCCACTCCTGGTTCAAGGCAGGGGTCAGGGTGCCTGACAGCTTCTAGCAGGGTAGAGTTTGATAAACCACAATGCTCAGGATGCCAAGGGGTTAGCCATTATCTTAACCCCTTCCTCACCAAAAGATTTTAGTTTTGTCTATTGGGAAACAAGATGTCACTAGGGAAGAAAAAGATTTGCCTTACAACTTTGCTGGAACACATCAGTTTGGTGACGTATGGGACACCGGTATTGTTTTTGAGAAAGTACATAAAACCAAAGTAAATTATTCTCTATGTAGAACATTATTTACTAGTAACATTTGTTTGGATGTATTAGCTTTGACAATTTTTACCAGTAAATATTGGTTTTATTTAAAACTGGGAATCCAGTTTATGAATAGGATAGTTGATATATCTGTCCTTTCCCCCTATAAAGAATAGTTTAAAGGTTTATGCATACTTTTTATTTTTCTCTCTTGATGCCGTGGAGTGGGGTGGGTGGGTGGGGAGAGATCTTTGAGTCAACAAACTGACAAAATGTCTTCTTCAAATTGAAAAATTGAAAAAGCAGCACCTTATTTAAGTCTAACTGTATACCATTTTAGTGCATGTATTAGTTTTAATAATGATTTTTGGTGCATGCCTTTGGGCTTATTCAAAAGTGTACAATAGGAAAGTATACGTATTTCCTTTCTTAGAAAGGAGATGTTTTTCTACTTTGCAACATGTGATTACAAAAATCTTCCTCTGTGGGAAGATTAACCATGTATTGAACTACTGAAAAGTATATATTTTTAGATATACAGAAGGAATCTACATGGAGCAGCATTCAGACCTATATAGAAGTCATAGCATTCTGTATAGGACCAAAAAGGAAATAACATTAAACAACTTAAACAGACTTTGTTGGGTAGAAATACCTTTAGATCTTGCATTGACGTCCAAAAACAAAATGCCACAAAAGTTTGCTGAGAACTTTTGTCATTTGAATTTTCTCTGTCAGTGTATTTAGCCCAAATAGAACAGCTTTGGGTTAACACATACATAAGAATAAAAAAAAAAAAAAAAAACAAAGCTAACTAAATAAATCAGTCTGGTTTGCCAATCCAGCTTGACTAAATAAGTAAACTAATCACTTGCAACATGAAAAACTGTCCAACTCCTCTAAGGTTTTGACAAAATAACCTTGGGTGATGTGGGAAAACTCCCACTTTGATTTCTGACCTGACAGTGAAGGTTCATGCTTGACATGATTTCAAACCTGACAGTGTCTGTTTAAGGAGCTATGGTACAGTTTGCTAATTCAATCTCAGATACCTGTTGATTACCTGTGAGATCTAGAGTCCAAAGTAGCCAGCAGCCGTATCCCTGAGTGCTCTGTGCCCATCAGATCTCTTAAAGTTAAGCAGGGTTGGGACAGGTCACAGCTCTGATGAGTGACCTCAGGAGCTGTGGACAGCCCCAGATTCAGTTGTATCTGCTTTCTTGGGAGTCATCACTGAACTAATGTCCCACATGGTGTTACTTCCTGTAGATGCTCTCTCTTGGAGGAGGCCCAGAGCACACATCCTAATCGCTTGTGGTACTCAGAGAGGGGGTGCTAACTCTGATGCCCTGGCCAAATTCCAGTTTAGGGATGTGGGTCTTCTTGCCATTCTAATTGGAAATGTGCATCGCTTCCCATTTTCCCTTTGATCTCAGTGCAGACTGCACTGGTATATTTCTTTGCCCTGATCCCAAGTCTTTAAGATGCTGGTGTGTATTATATGGGCCAAGTTCATGCCTTATCCTAATGCTGGAAGGTTGAGGAATGAGTGAGCTTGGTTATCACAGTGCCCTATAGTAGGAGGGTAAACTCTTGTGATGATTTAGGGATGAAGTTGGTCCTCTTTTTAGCATAAGTTGGGAATGTACACTGGTCAGAGGCTTCCAGCCATGAGGTGTGAACTGAAACCTATTTTCCCTCTTTTCTTATAGCATGTTGAGAAAATCTGTTGGGTTTTTAGCAGTCAGGGAAGGCCGGAGTTCTGCAGCTTTAATCTGGGTAACTGAGGCTGGTTTGAGCAAGACTTTGGTTAATTAACTAGGTTCTCAGATGCCACAGACTCCGTGAAAAGTCACCATTATTTTCAATGGTTGTGATAGAATTTCCCTCAGTAGCCATTATTTTAAGATTATATTGCAGAGTTGCTTTATTTGAGCTTTTTGTGTATACACAATCCCAAACTGGAAGAAATAATAATTTAAAAAAAAAGGAATCCTGCTGTGAAAGGTATATATTACTCTAGATTTTTCTTACTGTAAATATTGTAAGATTGTAATACTGTCGATATTTTATTAACCAACAAATGTTAATCTATGTGAATTCAGACTTATTTTAAATGTGCTTCTTATTTACTGTGTGTGGTCCCTGTTGCTGACAGTATTAAGTTATATTCTGATGTAAGATTAACTTTATTAAAGAATGTAAACATTAATGTTTCCTTATGGGAAAACAAATAAAGTATAAAGAAGACAATTCTTTTCATTAAAATATACTGTGTATTTACACTTGCTAGACCCAGCACCACTTATAAATTTAGTACATTGTTCAAAATTTTAGTTAACACAGCTGACATGGTTGTGCTCTGAAAGCCTAAGAGTAGGTATTGCTGGAATATGAACAGTTTGTATTTGTCCGCTGTGAATCATAATCTTGAAATTTCTAATCAAGTTTGTAAAATTTTTATAGTAAAACATTTTAATGACAATTTAAAAATTTATCTTCTCTAAAGAATGGTCAAACAATATCCTTTCAGGAATAGAATTGTTCTTTAATATCTTTCCAAAATGACTTTGGTTAAATGGACCAGATGTATATTAGTTAAAATTTAGGACAAAGTTGTAATATTCTTTGAGTTTACAAGTTAATCCTTATTGGAGATGTGCCAATTATACAGTAGAATATCATTAATTTGCACTGTTTGGGGACCCCATTAAGAATGCTGAATTTTGCCAACTAAGAAGTAAGCAAATGCAATTTAAAAACTAAATTTGAGCATTCTGTATTAAATATGTGCAGTTATTACCACATGAAGAAGCGCAGTGTGTCGGGCTGTAATATAACCATACTTGCTGTCATGTTCTCCCATCTCAGTGCTGGGAACTCACCATGTGGAAACCAAGCAAATGTGTTGTGCATCAGCCGGCTTGAGTTTGTTCAATATCAAAGCTGAAACTAGCGAGGTCTGCTGTACTGCTTATTGAAGTATTGTGATTCTTTTAGGCATTGATTCTTAAAAAATATATACTGTAACAGTATACTTTGTACAGATTTAAATTTTATTTGAAAAAAAATGAAATAAAGTAGGCAAAAAAATAAAGATGTTTATTTTTCATGTGACTGTATAAACAGATCAGTCTTTTGTTTCAGTGCCTTTGGTGGGGGTGGTTATGGTTGCTCTTGGTTTTTTTTTTTTGGATAGACAAAAACCATTTTAAGGGTTCAGTAGCAGGTATATTTGTCTGATAATTAATTTGCTGCAGGCATTAGGTGTGCTGTCTCACATTGGAAAGCTTTCCTATTTTATTTTAAAACAAATTAGATTTTATGTGAATGGCTTCCCTATCTTGCTTCTTAAGTCAGTTTTTAAAATTCTCTGGTGGTGGGACAGTTAACCAAGCCATCACGACTAAAGAGAAGGAAAAATTTTTCCCATAGACTATGCCCCTTTTCCACTGTAAGTTTTTTGTTTTTTGTCGTTTAAATTTGAAGTTGGTTTGGGTTACAAAAGAGTCATGACAAAAGATGAAGAGAATCCTCTGCAGAAAATAACAGTTGTGCTTGAAAATAAGATCCTTTTGAAACTGCTTTTCTAGTGAAAGAAGTTACCAATAAAAATGTGCCACAGGAGTGATCCTTCAGAATAGTTTTAATGGGACCGTCTCAGAGAAGATTAGATTATCTGACCAAAAAGAGCTATCTCAGTTTTGGCCTCTAACTCAAAAACCAGCAGTGGCTTCAGGTGTATGGTATTTTCCTCAACCTTTAGAAATGGAGTTGGAAGTTTGGATTTCTGCTTTCTCCTCAATTTATCTTTTCTGGTGCTTTCACTTACTTTTAGGCTGGATATGAGAAGGCTTGGAACCAGTGATTGCAGAAACAAAGTTCCTGCAAAAATCACACTATAAAAGATTTTTTTCTTTGCACTTTGAATGCAAGGAGCATGTGTTTAATCCCTGGTTGGGGAGCTATTTTGGTTAGTACAAAAGTAATTGTGGTTTTGAGGTGTAAATTTTAAATCATTATAACTAGACTCAAACACATCTTTATTAATTGAAATAGGAACCATTACAATTAACACATTTTTGCCAATGAGAAATAAGTTTGTTTATTCATGTAGTGTAAAAATCCATGCTTAGGGATTGGGCAAGCTCCTAGAAAGCATTTTCTGCCTCCTGCTGGTTGTGGAAGCATTTCCCTGCAAAAAGTTGTCAAGATTCTTGAAGAAGTGGTAGTCGGTTTGCGAGAGGTCAGGTGAATATGGCGGATGAGGCAAAACTTCTTAGCCCAATTCATTCAACTTTTGAAGCATTGGTTGTACAACATGTGGTCGGGCATTGTTGAGAAGAATTGGGCCCAAGTTGACCAATGCCGGCTGGAGGCATTGCAGTTTTCTGTGCATCTCATCAATTTGCTGAGCATACTTCTCAGATGTAATGGTTTCTCTGGGATTCAGAAAACTAGTGGATCAGACATGTAGCAGACCACCGAACAGTGACTTGACTTTTTTTGGTGCACGTTTGGCTTTGGTAAGTGCTTCGGATCTTCTTGGTCCAACCACTGAGCTGGTTGTCCCTCGTTGTCATATAAAATCCACTCTTCATTTCTTGTCACAATCCAATAGTGAAATGGCTTGTTGCTGTTGCATAGAATAAGAGAAGACAGCTCTTCAAAATGATGATTTTTTTATTTTCGGTCAGCTCATGAGGCACTCACTTATGGCTTTTTCACCTTTCCAATTTGCTTCAAATGCTTAATGACCATAGAATGGTCAACACTGAGTTCTTTGGCAATTTCTCATGTAGTTGTAAAAGGATCAGCTTCAGTGATTGCTCTCAGTTGGTTGTTGTCAGCTTCTGAAGGCCATCCACTACGCTCCTCATCTTCAAGGCTCTCGTCTCCTTTGCAAAACTTCTTGCACTACCACTGCACTGTACATTTGTTAGCAGTTCCTGGGCCAAATGCATTGATGCTGTGAGTTGTCTCTGCTGCTTTACGACCCATTTGAACTCGAATAAGAAAATCGCTCAAATTTGCTTTTTGTCTACCATTTCCATAGTCTCATATAAATATAAAATAAACAGAAATTAATAAGTCACTACCAAAAGATGAAGTGAGAAATGCACATTAAAATGATGTATAACATAACCACATTTATTTAAGAATGTATTCCAGTATCAAATGGCAAATTTCAACAATGCAAAAACCGCAGTTACGTTTGCACCAACCTAATACATTCCTGCATGCTGTGCAGCATGGCCAAAAAAAAAAAAAAAAGACAACCAAATAAATAAATATATACATATGTATAACAGTAGTTATATTCTAAAGACTGATGCATGGTCATTGAAATATCTCATGTTCACAGTAACACAGTTTCAGGCTTCCTTGAGTAAATTCCAAGAAAGCTTTGTTGTTGTCGTTTGGATTTTTTCTTGCTGAAATGGCTTTCCTTTGTAGAGAGGAGCAGACTAGCTATTGGAAGACAGCTAGTCACAGTTAGCCAGCTGTTGGACCAGCTTCCACACCTGACAACCACCAACTCCTGTAAAAATAACAGACACTGTGCTGTATGAAAACATAAAGTGGAGGGGCCTCTGTTTTGCGTGGGTAGGGCAGGTGGCAGTGCCTCTGATTTAGGCTGCACACAGAGGACAGCTGGGGACTTCCTAAAGATTCTCCCCTCACCTCAGTGTAGAGTCAGACAAACTCCTGGGACTCCCAGAGGAGGACTCGCTAGTATTGGAGATTGTGGTAGAAACTCTAGCCACAATTTGTGGTAAAGGTAAAAGGGAATGAAAAGCCGGAAGCCAGGCCCCTTCCAAACTGTCCCATCACCTTAATCTTTGAAAGATTCCAAATGGGAATCCCTGACCTCAGGGAATATGCCCTGAGGTAATTTTGGAGAGGTGGAGGTAAGGTTCTGTTGCAGGGCTGCAAGGGAACATCCCAGACTTGGGATGGGTCTGAACTCTAGGGCAAGGCTTATGGGCCCATGGGAGCCCCTGAGGAAAGGGGCCCAGCAAGGTCAACAGAACTGTTAGCCATTTTTATTTAGCACTTTTCTCTTCTAAAGCAATAAAATCGGCAATCTCTTCCCACCCCCACCTCCAATGGATGTTAACTTTTATTTAACCATGTAGTATGTCATTTACTTCGGCTCTTTTGCATGATTTTTTTAGAACTCTCTCTGTTCATAGTGCCAGTAAGAGTTTCTTTCTCAGCAGACAGGACTTTCTGATTTGGGGTACTGGGTTTTGGAAGAGGTTCTGCTCTTATGGGATCAGAGGAATGAGAGATCTCTTTTTGTCTGCTATTAGCTAGCAGGGTCAGCACAGGCACTACTGCTTTCATTTCACTTCAGCACCGTCCCCCACACTTCAGGAACTTGAGAAGGAACCACTGATTTTTCCCTCTGAAAATGGGGATTTTACCTTAATTTCGCAAATCTCTGGAGTGTTTCCAATAACGTTGTTCCCGTTTTCCTCCCAGCTTTGATTTTCATTCATTTTGGTTTGTTCAAATCAGGCCATTTGGCACTTAGGTTGGCAGTGAGAAAATGTCACAAAAAGGCTCACTGAATGTTGCAATGTTTAAAAGAGCAGGATATCCCCACCTCACAGCCAGCAGAGTTGTCCAGTTAACCCCACCATCCTAGGAACCCTGTTCTCCCTGCTTGCTTAGCTCGTAACTCAGACCTTCCCCAGGAAGCAGGAATTTCGTCAGCCTCCCAGGGAGACTGGCAGCTGCTCCAGGCTCGGAGGCCTTCTCTTTATGCCTCTGGCAGTGACACTGAGGGTGAGTATGTACTGCCATCATCCTAAATTTTTCCAAGCCCCTCACTTAAAAAAAAGCTCAATATTGAGTTTTTAAACTATGCAAGCTAAGTGTTTTGTCTAGGTTATTTCATTAAGTCTTACTACAACCCTATGAAACAGGCACTATTATTACCCCCATTTTACAGAAGAGGAAACTAAGACACAAAGAGATCAAGTAACATCCCCAGGTTACACAGTCAGAGTTCAAATCACAAGTCCTGGCAGATGATGCCCAAGGATACCCTTGGTCTCAGTCACTCTAGCGCCTCCTCTTCCCCTAACTCCTAGGGTCTCCCAGACTCTGACAGTGCCTTAGCTCAGGATGTATTCAGCTGGAGGGCAAAACCAATGTTCCCTGAAATAAAGGAAGATTTCTCTGTATAGCTCACAAGCCACACTTCCTGTTCTGAAGGTTGATTCATGAATGAATCTACATTTTCATTTCCCCCTCCACTTTCATGGGGGAGTGACTGACTCAGACAAGGTCTGAGGAAACATGGTGAATGGCCCTTCCAGGCCTCTCTCCACTGCTCTTCCTTAAAGTACAGTGCTGGGTACTATTCCTGCCTCTTCTCATCCTCATCACAATGATCTGATCAGAGAGCCCTGTGAATAAGCCCTTCAGTTCTGTCCAGTGGAGCTGTTGATTCCTTTCTTGTCCCCAGGTTATACCCCCCAGCAGACACCCTCTGTCTTCCTTATGGCTGACCTCCTATCTGGGCCCATTTGGCTGCAGATACAGGCTCAAAAGAGAACAGGAGGCAGCTTCCCAGAGAGGATCTGGGTCTGCCCAGATTCCCTAAACCTCACTACTTGCCAATAATTGGCCCAGTAATTGGATCCATCAGGGCCAACCATGTAGTTTCCAGCTTAGAGCTTTGCTTGGGCTTGTAACGTTTCTGAAGGCACTTAGCATCCTCTAAAAATGCTATTTCCCAGATGCTTCATGAGCTCTAAGGGAAGGTCCTGAGGGTCACTCTCTAGAGGCTTCTTCCAAATACAAAATATGAAATTCTTTGGGACTTAGGGCTGGTTTAGAGGGCTATGGTATCTATTAGAACTCTTGTCTAAAAAGGGACGCTCATAATCCCTCATGTTTCTTGTATCCTCTAAAGCAGTGATTCTCATGGTGTGTTCCCTCACCCCAGAGCATTAGCATCCCGTTGGAAATTGTTAGAAGTGCAAATTCTTGGTCCACACTCCAGACAGAACTGAATCAGAACCTGCCTGAAACCAGCAGTCCCTGTTGTAGCAAGCCTTCCAGGAGACTCTGATGCACACTGAAGTGTGAGAACCCCTACTCT